TCGTACTGAACAGTGCCTTGCGTGTCCTCGTGGTCTGAGGTGATGATCCTCAGAAGCTTAGGGGGACATCCAATTCTCTGCAGGAGTGTGAACAGGCCTGACCTGCTGACCAGGTCGAATGCTTTGGTCAGGTCTAAGAAAGCAATGTACAAGGGGCATCTCTGCTCGCGGCATTTTTCTTGCAGCTGCCTTAGCGTGAAGATCATGTCAATAGTAGATCTCTCAGCCCTGAATCCGCACTGCGCCTCTGGGTAGACGCGTTCTGCAAGCAACCACAGTCTGTTTAGTACGACGCGAGCGAAGGTCTTCCCGACAGTGCTTAGGAGGGATATTCCATGGTAATTGTTGCAGTCGCTGCGGTCGCCTTTGTTTTTGTACAGCGTGATAATATTGGCATCTCGCATGTCCTGAGGCACGGTTCCTTCCTCCCAACACTGTAGCAGGAGTTTGTGAAGGTGATCGAGGAGGCTGGACTGTTTGTCTGCTTTAATGACCTCGGGAGGGATGCCATTGTTTCCCGGAGCTTTGCCACTGGCAAGAGAGTCGATGCCTTGCTGAGCTCCTCAGTGGTGGGTGGGATGTCAAGCTCTTCCATGATGGGCAGGGGGCTCGTATTTTCCACCGCTGTGTCTGTAACAATGGACTCTTTCGAGTACAGCTCTTGGTAGTGTTCTACCCACCTCTCCATCTGCTTTCCACGGTCGGTGATAATGATATCGCCGGAGGTAGATTTTAACGGGGCGATCTTGATGGCGCTAGGGCCGAAGGCCTTCTTCATACCCTCATACATGGCTCTAATGTACAGCTGGATGCTTTGACACAGGTTCTGCCAGTAGTTGTTAGCGCACTGTCTAGCGATCCGCTGGGCATCACCTCTGGCCCTTCTAAGGGCAGCAAGTGTCCTCTCACAGGGGTCATGTTTGTAGTCAAGTAGGGCAGTTCTTTTGGATGCGATGACTGGCTCGAGTTCCGCAATTCCGGCTTCAAACCAGTCAGGGTTTTTCTTTTCCCTCTTGCCAAACGAGTCGACAGCTGACCTGTAAGTGGCGTCACGGCTATGGTTCCATCTCTCTTTGACACTGCTTGTTGGGCAGTTGCTAAGGGCCTCTTGGATGGCGTTTGCAAAACGTTCTCGCAGTTCAGGGACTGATGTCTTGGCCGTGTTGATTTGGAGTTGTCCTTTTTGCTTTGATCGATGGATCCGCTTGGGCTGAAGACGCGCCTTGCTGGTGACCATGGAGTGATCGGTGTCGCAGTCAGCGCTGTGGTAACTGCTTGTAGAGAGGACGCAGTTCAGCGACGTTCTTCTGGTGATGACGTGATCCAGCTGGTGCCAGTGATGAGATCTGGGGTGTCGCCAGGACACTCTGTGATTGGGCTTTGTGGGATAGAACGTGTTTGTGATGCAGAGGTCGTGAAGGGAGCATAGCTCAAGGAGTCTTTGCCCGTTCTCATTGAGTTTGCCGACACCAAAGTGGCCGATGCATCGGGGCCAGGAGATGTGATCGGAACCAATCCGTGAATTAAAGTCACCGAGCAGGAACAAGTGTTCACTGACAGGGAACTTCTTGATGGCGGTCTCAAGCTCATCGTAAAACTCGTCCTTCGCTTCTGCTGAAGAGTATAGTGTTGGGGCATAGACACTCATGATGTTAACGGGACCTGAGGTGGTTGTGAGGCGAAGAGAAAGGATGCGATCTGTGCCTTCTAAAGGCGGTACGATTGAAGGCAGTAGAGAGTTCCTAACTGCAAAATCTACGCCGTGCACACGGTGCTCCTCTGGGGTTTTTCCTTGCCAAAAGAATGTATAGTCCTTTTCTTTAAGGCTGCCGTTTGATGGAAGTCTGGTTTCTTGCAGTGCTGCGATGTCAATAGCAAGTCTCTTGAGCTCGCGACTGATGACTGCCGTCTTCCTCGCGTCGTTGATCTGTTGTAGGTCGTCAGAGAGGCCAGGACACATGGTCCTGATGTTCCAGGTTGCCAGTCTCAGCGCTGGCAGCTTTCTTGTCTGTCTTCCTTTTTTGCCTGGTGCACGGTTTACAGTCTGCTCTTCGGTTTTTGTCCTGAGCTCCAAGCACCCAATGAAGCGGGCAGACCATGACGGGTCAGCATCTTATTGGCCGGGGGCTGCCCAGCTTGAGGACGCGAGGATCCCTCCCACCGTCGGAGACAACCCGTAGCGCCCGAGCTCACGCCAATATGCTCTAGGCTTATAACTCGTAACTGCTGTCTCCCGTGTTGTTTCTGTTGCTGAAGCAGCGGCACTGGAGTGACCTCTCCAGGGCGCAAGCCTGGGCGAAGTATATGGAGGTCCTGGGTTGCCCAGTCGTCAAGACCCCCCTCTCGGCCTCACCAGTGTAATCCAAAGGAATGCGAAGCAATACGTTTGGCACCAGCTTGGCTGCAGGAGCTGCCGGAGTCAGTTAGCACTGCACACTGGTCCGCCTTCGTGGGCTCCACTACTGATTTGAAGGGTTTACTCCCTTACACTTGGCCGTTGAAACCGTCTAGGGTCTCCTCCGCCCTCTAGCCGTTGTCCACCTGAAGCAGATCCTTCGCCTAGACGTGGTGCAGTGTAAGCACCACCCCCTCAGTGGTTTTCTGTCAGGGTTTTCCTTCCCTTAGATGGACTGCCCTCCCAGCCTAACGAGTTCCATCTACCCGGAATGCAATGATATGCAAATAATTTAAAACCTAAATTTAATAAAAAATAGTACAAAGACGACATATCAAATGTTAAAACTAAGAAATTTGAATGTTTTTTACAAAATTTGCCCTTTTTGAATTTGATACCAACAACACGTTCCAAAAAACTTGTGACGGGGGCAGAAAAAGGCTGGTAAAGTTGTCTAATGCTAAAAAACACCTGGTGGTTGATTGGCAACAGGTCAGTAACATGACTGGGTATAGTAAAAAGGAGAGATTCACCACTGTGTAAAAGACTGCACGAGCAAATAGAACAACAAGAATAATGTTTCTCACCATAAAATATCAAAGAACTTTTGCTTTTTATCATCTGCGGTACATAATAACATAAAAAGATTCAGAGAATCTGGAGAAATCTCTGTATGTAAGGGACAAAGCCAAAAAACAGTATTTAATGGCCGTGATCCTTGGGCTGTCAGGCCGTACTGCATTAAAATCAGACCACTCAGCTTGTTATCAGTGCACAGATCAAAAGCCAGTATTCATGATGGTATAGGGGTGCATTAGTGCACATATCATGGGTGATGTCCACATCTGTGGAGGCACCATTAATTCTGAACGCTATATAAATGTTTTGGCAACATCTGCTGCCATCCAGTTGACGTCTTTTTCAGGGACGGCCTTGATTATTTCAGCAAGACAATGTAAAACCACATCCTGCATGTATTACAACAGCATTGCTCTGTATTAAAAGAGTTTGGGTGCTAAACTGACCTGCCTGCAGTCCAGACCTGTCATCCATTTGGCGCATTATGAAATGAAAAATACGGCAAAGGAGACCCCGAACTACTGAGCAGCTAAAATCCTATATCAAACAGGAATGTGAAATCATTTCACTTTCAAAACTACAGCAGTCGGTCTCCTCAGTTCACAAACGCTTACAGAGTGTTCAAAATGGGCATATATGTTTCAAAAAACAATACAATTTCAGCACAAGATATGTTGTCTTTGTAGTATTTTCCTTAAAAAATGTTCTGCACATTGTTGCATTGTATTTTTATTTACATTTACATTTTTATTTTTATTTACAGCATCCCAACTTTCTTGGAAATAGGGTTTTATATATGTATATTTATACATATAATAATAATAATAATAATAATAATAATAATAATAATATATTATTATTATTATTATATATTATTTCATATATATATATATATATATATATATATGTGCACATACACACACACAGCTAATTAGCACTATGGCAACGTGCATTCAAGCAGAACACCATTATGATGTCATAATGGATGAGTGATGTCACAACATTCCGTACTCAGAATTTTGTCAGTTCGATGAGAAACACACAGCGAAGCAGCTCACGGCTAATTTGTGTTAATTATAATCGAGTTTAGTGGAAGAAAATTAGGACAGCAGAAGATGATGGAGCAGAACTCTGCAGCTACAGGTTCCACACATTCCTGTTTGGGTTTGTTTATTTATTTATTCATTTATTTATTGTTCATTGACTTTTATCATTTTTTGTTTATTCATTTCTCACTTGTCATCAGCACAATACGAGCACATTTAGATATCACTGCATTCCTTAATAACAATGTATGTTTTTTTATTTAAAACAGCAATATAACAGTACATGAACTTTTTAAAATTTTAAAACAGCAAAAACTCTTAAATTATAGTTATGTAACAAACTACTTAAAAATAAGTAAATTATTCAGTGAAATTAATAACATGAACTTTCAGTGTTGAACTCTAAAAGGAAAGCTCTGTTAGCGACTCTGTTAGTATCTGACTGTTAGTTTCTGTTTCTTACATAACATTTAAAGAGACGATACCAGTAAATCAGTGTGGTAAAGAATGCCATATTCTGTTTGTGTAGGAGAATCACAGGCTACACAATGTAGCTTTGAGCTTGAAATTTATTGTATTTTAGCTCATCAAAAAATAAAAAGTAAATAACTCTCTGCATCTTTAAACAGATGACTTAGAAAATTACCAAAAAAAGAACACATTGTAGAATTGTAATTGTAGAACTACACAGTGCACGTATATAGTAAGTGGAGCTGATAAAATGGACAACGAGCGTAGAAACAAGGAGGTGGTCATAATGTTATGCTTGATCGGTGTATATATATATATATATATATATATATATATAAATTTCTTATAAAATGACCAGTATATATACACAGTGGAATAATATGAGCACATTTAGATATCACTGCATTCCTTAATAACAATATAGAGTATAATGCAGTGTATCAGCATATAACTATTATTACTACAGACATATGCAGCTTATGTTCTTTGAAATGACATTAAATATTCAAATGATCATTCTGTACTCAGAGGCCCCACGAGGAAAGAGAAAGAGAGCAGAGGATGGATGCAGCCAGAGTGTCAAAGAGGGAACAAGCAAGTTTCCCAACACTGAGGCCCCAGCAAGAAAGAAGAGGAAGGTCGCAGCGACCCGGCCCAAAAGAACAACTCGAGGAGAGAAGAACGCCACCGAGCCAGGTCAGTCTTTTCACCCCCATACTGTAAAATTAGATGTTGTCACTGAGGAAATATGATTGGTTAAAAAGATATAATATGCAGCAGAAAGTGTTGGTGGTGGACAAAAAGAGGAAAGTGATGGACACTGGCTCTAAAAAATAAAGAACAAATAAAAGAAAACTGCTAAACCGAGAAAATGAAGGAAACTCATAAAAATTTGTGTAATTTCTGTTTTACAAAATAGTCTACAATATTAAGACTGTGACAAAGTATATCGCTTCACTCCAGTGGTCCATTGGCAGGTGAAATTGTGCGTCAAGTTGTGGGTAAAGTCACACGTCCAGAACATTAAACATTCAATAATGATCCTGTACTTAGAATCTCCTGGAGGAAAGAGGAAGAGAGCTGAGGAAGAAGACATCCAAAATGTCGGAGAGGGAACAAGCAAGTTTCCCAACCTTGAAGCTCCAGCAGGGAAGAGGAGGAAGGGAGCAGTGACCCAGCCCAAAACAACAACTCGAGGACAGAAGAAAGCCACCGAGACAGGTCAGTCCACTCACCTCCATACTGTAAAATTAGATGCTGACACTGAGGAAATATGATTGGTTAAAAAGAGCTAATGTGCAGCAGAAAGTGCTGGACACTGGCTCTAAAAAACAAAAAAAAAGACAAAAGTGAACTGCTAAACAGAGAAAATGGAGGAAACAAAAAACAAAGTATTGTACAGTAAGTATTATCGTAGATGCTTTGTTGTCCTACAACTGAATAACTGATCTGGTCACTCTAGTGGTGGGTTCATTGGAAGGTCCAATCGTGGGTCAGGTTATGGCTAAAGTCACAGGTCCAGAACATTAAATATTCAGTAATCATCCTGTATTTAGAAGCTCCTCGAGGAAAGAGGAAGAGAGTCGAGGAAGGAGACCGCCAGAGTGTCGGAGAGGGAACAAGCAAGTTTCCCCACACTGAAGCTCCAGCAGGGAAGAAGCGGAAGGGAGCAGTGAACGGGCCCAAAGGAACAACTCAGGGACAAAAGAAAGCCACCGAGCCAGGTCAGTCCAGTTGCCAGACCACTGCGTCTCATGACCGATTAATTTGACTTCATTCTAAGAGAACTGTAATTATCTAAATGAAGTTCACACAAAGTAGATTCCACTGCATCCTTCATAATCAGAATGATTGGTTAATCCCTGATCACTGATCTAAAGAGGGCTGATGTTTGTAATTTTGTTTTCCATAGACACCTTTAAATCCCGCTACGTGGTTGGAGACAAACTTGGTCAAGGAGGCTTTGGATCTGTCTTCAAAGGAAGACGCATTTCTGATGGCCAACAGGTTCGGCTCACACCTCAGATTTCATTCTATTGGTCATGATTTCCCCTTCTCTCTTTTCTCTGCTAGTCTCTAAATATTTTACTATTTTAATATCTTAATATTTTTTGTCTTTTTTTTGTCTATTTTTTTGTCAGGTGGCCATCAAGTTTGTCTTAAAACAGAAAACAGAGCGATATCTTGAGAGCGTAAGTGCACCTACTTAACACATAACACATGATGGTCCCAAACCAACCCAATGAGTTTCTCCTCATGTTCTGCACTCCTGACCATCTGACTCTCTACTGTCCTGCAGCCTGTTGAGTCCAAGGCCGTGCCTGCAGAAGTGGCTCTGATGCAGATAATGAGCCAGCCACCCGTCTGCAAGAACATAGTACAGCTGATCGAGTGGTTTGATGAGCCTCAGAGATACATCCTGATCCTGGAGCGCCCTGACCCTTGCATGGACTTGGAGAGTTTACTGAAAAATCTCGGGAACTGCATGGATGAAGACGTGGCCCGAGCCGTAATGGTCCAAGCAGTGAAGGCAGTGAGCCAGTGCAGTAAGCGTGGTGTCCTGCATCGCGACGTCAAAGGGGAGAACTTACTGATCAACACAGACACCTTAGTGGTCAAACTTATTGACTTTGGTTGTGGTGACCTGATCAAGAAAACGCCGTATGACAGATATGCAGGTAAATTTTTAACACACTTCTTCAAGCAAAAGTTGAGCTTCACTTCTAAAGAAATGATCCTGAGAGGAGAACTGTGTCCTGTAGCCACTTAGCTGTTAAATGAATTACTGTGCTCATCTGTGCTCTTTCTCTTTTTTATGTTCTCAGGCACGTTTCGATACTGCCCTCCTGAGTTTTTTGTGAAGCGGAATTATCACGCTGATCCTGCAACAGTGTGGTCACTTGGTGTCCTGCTGTTCAGGATGGTTTGCGGACACCTTCCCTTTGCTAACAAAATAGAGACCATGGTGGGGATTTTTAACTTCAAGGACGGCCTGTCAAAGGGTAAGATAAACGGGAACGTCTGAGCAAAAGACGCATCCTTTTAACCTGGTAACTCAGTACAGAGGAAGGAAAACTGATCACATAATCGATAGTTAGAACAAGAGTTTGCAGTAGAGGCCAGATGCTCCTAAATGTATACCTTTATAATAGTGTACTTTTCATGTCATACTCACATCCCACCCTTTTACTGGTAGTCCTTCTGAAATTTCGTGGTTAAGCGTCTCACTCCCATACAATCCTGTCACTCTGTACAGAATGCCGTAATCTGATTTCCTGGTGCCTGCAGTGGTTCCCTTCCAAGAGGCCTAGTTTGCAGCAGATCAAGCAGCATGAGTGGCTCCGGTGCACCATCCGGGCCTAGGATCAGATTAGCCAGGGAGGCTAGGAGAAGAAGCAGTAAGCCTAAAACATCTAGTGCCAGTTGAGGAGATACTGTGGTGTACATACATGCCATGAGTAAACTGGAAATCAAGATTGAGATAAATAATCTTAAGATTTCAAAGCTTTAGAGTCTAATGCATATCTTTTTGTTTCAGGTTATGAAGGGCTGTTAAGGAGAGATCATAACAACAAAAAACACCTTTCCATGTCAACGAAGACTACTGGATAAAGAACAGTGACGAATGATGAAGGACAACGACAATGTGAAAAGAACAAAGGTAGTGGAAGAAAGTCAACAGCCATGGAAGAAGGACAAGTGCAATGGAAAAGGGATGATGACAATGCAAGTAGAACACTGACAGTGAAAAAGGACAACAGCAGTGACAAAAGGACAATGTCAGTGGATAAAGGACAATGACAATGAAAAAGAACAACAACAGTAGATAAAGGACAGTGACATTAAAAAAGGACAGCAACAGTGGATGAAGGACAATGATAGTTAAAAAATGGACAACAACAGAGGATAAAGGTCAGTGACAATGAAAAAGGACAACAACAGTGACAAAAGGACAATGACAGTGGATGAAGGACAATGACAGTTAGAAAAGAACAACAACAGAACAACAGTGGATAAAGGACAATGACAGTGGATAAAGGACAGTGACAGTGGATAAAGGACAACAACATTGGATAAAGGACAGTGACAGTGGATAAAGGACAGTGACAGTGGATAAAGGACAACAACATTGGATAAAGGACAGTGAGAGTGGATAAAGGACAGTGACAGTTAGAAAAGAACAACAAAAGAACAACCGTGGATAAAGGACAGTGACAGTGGATAAAGGACAGTGACAGTGGATAAAGGACAACAACATTGGATAAAGGACAGTGACAGTGGATAAAGGACAGTGACAGTGGATAAAGGACAACAACATTGGATAAAGGACAGTGACAGTGGATAAAGGACAGTGACAGTGGATAAAGGACAACAACATTGGATAAAGGACAGTGACAGTGGATAAAGGACAGTGACTGGATAAAGGACAACAACATTGGATAAAGGACAGTGACAGTGGATAAAGGACATTGACAGTGGACAAAGGACAACGACAGTGAAGAGCGGACAAAGAGAGAAAAAACACAATATCAGTGAAAAAGTCTTTGGTTAAATTTGATGTCAAGAAATAAAAAACATTGCCTGATTGAATTTCTTTTGGCCTGATGTGTATTAACGGTTTCATATCCTTCATTTTTGTATTTTTTTAACGAGGTTCACTGATGACTTTCATGTTCAATGTACCAAAAACAGTGTTAATTCATTTCTACATGACCATTTTATCCCTTAGAATTCAACAGACTGTTGTTCTTACTGTACCTTTAAAACTGATATATGCAAATGAGCTCTGCTCTTGTTGGCTGTCTAGCTGACTGGCTATCAGCTAAAGGTTTACTTACGTTACCCATACTTGCAAATTCGTCGTGACTAGTGTTAACTTATTCCTTTTAAATGATCGGAGTAGTTAGCTAACTACTCTGTGCATTTGAAAGGAATACATTAACACTAGCAATTATGGGTAACGTAAGCAAACCTTTAGCTGATAGCCAGTTAATTAACCTAGCTAGCATGAGCTTTTTCAAGTGTTATGCCATAATGTTATTTTCCATACTGGAAACTGATTTTAAATAGTCAATCTTGCACATGTTTATTTAGAGATGCTACATGATGTTGAGTTTGCAATGCTATGCTATGCTTTAAAATGCTATACTACACTCAAAAAAAAGAAGTTACTCTGTTGTTGGTTAACAAATGCATGTAAGTCAGTGAAGCTGAGTCAGTTGTGTTGTTTCAATGAAATTAAGTGAGTTTTACTTCATAAGTGTTTGTTTGGTCAGCGTGATCTTGTTGAGTAAAACTCAACATCTTTCCTGTTGGCTCCTGGTATATTGTTTTACTTGTTTTTTACTCACCCTCTTCCTGTCTTTCACCCTGACCTACCTTCCACTATGTGTACATCTTTCTTAAACCCCAAGGTGAACCGTCTAGCCACATTGATGCTGTCAGTAAATGCAAGTTACCATGTAATCTACTGATCAGTGTGATTCTATGACAGCTTTGCAACAACTTATGCTCTTTTTCTACTTTAACCTCTTATTGACCAGGGTATATTTTGGTTTTCAATCTGAATTTACATGACCAAATCATAAGGCAAATTATTCAGTAACTGCATGAAATAAATGTAATTTTTGTTTTATTTATTTATTTATTTTAAAAGCTCAAATTAACAGAACATGTGTTTTATGGTCATACACATATTGCTATATGCTTACAATTTACTGCTGAAAGCCTAAAATCTTAGATACCCTTTGTATTATTTTATAAAAATAATGTTTACAGAGCAGATCACTGAAGAGACACCATCTGTTTATAGTTTATAGCCAAGATTTGTGGGAAAATGGGTCGACTTTCAGTAGACAAAAAAAAACTGAGTTCAGCTTCTTTTATTATAAGGGTTTAAAACTACATTACCCATCTATTTACCTGGAAAGAAGACAGTTACAGCTCTCAAATGACACCCACCTTATGAATGTAGCATATGAAATATGAAAGTTATGAAAATATGACGAAGTGCGTTTTGGAACCACTGGTGGTCTCAAGGAGTTGAAAAGGTTAATTAGTACAGATGACTCAACTGAGCACCTTAAAAGCTGCTTAACACAGCTGAGTGGAACCAATTGACATAACATTTTAAAGTAAATCCAACACCTCATTTTTTGAGTGCACCAACTGGACTATACTGTTGTAGCTAATCAAAACTAGTCAGGTAGGAAATTTACACCATGCTAATGTATCCCGATCGTAGATGAGCTCAATTACATGATGAAGAATCTACATGTGATTTCAACATGTGACTTTTCACATGCATACAAACTAAACATAATTTAATAACTCTAAATTGATGTGTTCTGACAAAATGTGAGCCACAGTTTCTCATTGGGATAAAAGTGTTATTATTCTGTGAATGAAACGCTTTTGTGGGTGGAATATGGACAGGTCAGTTATCCCTTAAAGGGCCCATATCATATATTCCCCCTGAGGTTCAGTTATGATGTTTGTGTGGGTTTATGTATCAAAGACAGCTGTAATTCATTATTACAGGACCATTTTCCAGCTACTCCTAATCCCTTAGAATTAAGCAGTCTGTTTTTGTCACTGTCCCATTAAGACAGATATATATATGTGTCTGATGGGCTGTCCTGTGTTGTGCCTCATTTAAAAAGCAGCACAGGCTGAAACGTTCAATAGGCAGGGCTAAACTACTGTAAGCAGAACAGGTGGCTATATGTGAATGTATTTTTTGACATCATGAAAACAAGGCAGTCCAAAAGGGACAGCTTGTTCATATACATGGATTGTATGTACTTGGGAGTGAATGATACATGTTGAACTTTTGTTGAACCCTTTTATTTAGAAAAAAAAAAACTTTTTTCCCATGATATGGGCCCTTTAATACAACAACAAAGTGTCATATCTACATTCACTACTCACTTGGGAACTGTGTTTGCTTCCTCGGTTTGGCCTGGTGTTTGTATCTGGAAAAAAAGCTCATTACAGCAGTCACCATCCTCCACTGCCAACACCATGAGAAACTGCAGTTACACTGGATAAATAATTAAGGAAGCTGTGTTCACTGCAGTCTGGGTAATGACTTACATCACTCATTGTTTTCCCTTGGAGAGTTTGTGCAGCTACTGAGTCTGACAGCTAATTCTTTAACTGGCAAAGTAGAACAATTTGCTTTAAACTGGGAAAAGAAATCCTTTGTAATTGTAAAGGTTTTGACTGAATTCTTGGCTTCCAGCTGAGCTGCTTTGTTCATCTAATGATATGAAAATTGCGTAGGATAAGCCTGTTAACTAAAAAGACAAAAAAAAAGCTGCTCCTTTGCTCTTCCCAGATCCAATTCCAATGACCCCCTCATTAGGAGTGCTGCTATTAGCATCTCTACCAGCAATTTGTGATGTTTTACAGAACAGTGACACTGACATGGTAGTCAGTGTCACTGCAGTGCTGAGAATAGACCACCACTCACATAATATCTGGATAACAGCAGGTTCTGGGGTCAGAAACTCACTAAAGATGAATGGGAGAACATGCAAACTCAACACAGAAATGACCCTGGTCTACCTGGCAGGGAAAATCGAACCCAGGCCCTTCTTGCTATGAGGTGAAAGCGCTACTAAAGTTTGGATGCTCCTGGTCAAATGGCATGTTTTGTTGATTTTATGACTTAAAATGAACATCCTCTACAGGGAACATGCTTCTGCACATTTTAATGCACAAGTACTGTTTATTTATTAATTTTAACATACTAAGAAAAAAGAAGTTGTGCAAAAATTATGGCACATTTTATATTTAACTTTTTCCCAATATGGTACATTCAGCAAAAAAAAAAAGAAACTGTATTAATTTTGCAGAAGTGTGTTCTGTAGTTGGTGTTAACTTATTTTCAGTTAGAAGTCCGTTTCCGTTTCAGTTCATAAAATCAACAAAACATGTAGTTTTACCAGGGGTGTTCAAACTTTTGCACCCACTGCCCATTGGTTTCTTTTACAAAGACTCTTTTGGTTATACTGAAAAAGTGATATCCTAAATTTACTTCAAATATGTACATATTTTTCAATGAATAAAAGGTACTAAGCATAAAACAAATACATATATATAGTTGTATGCAAAAACACCCCTGGTCAAATCTGGATTTATAAGTTTAGTGAATGTATAGAACTAAATAAGGCACTATTAGAGGTTTAATTAACTCCAAATGTTAAAGCAGCCTGGTATATGCAATTTTTAACTGTCCAATACATCAGCTAGTAAGGGGGGCGGTGGGGGGAGGCTCTAGCCTTTTTGTGGTCCTGCTTGTATTTCATGTGCAAAATGCAGTTTTCTTTAATAAATTCTGCTGCTGTAGTTGTAGGACC